TTATTCTTCTTGGCATTTAAGTTGTACAGAATATCAACAGCTGCTAGGGCAGGGTTCTCAACCTTGGCAACTTTAAGACTTGTGGACTTCAACTCAAAGCTGGCTGAGGAATTCTGGGAGTTGAAGTCCACAAGTCTTAAAGTTGCCAAGGTTGAGAACCCCTGTTTAGGGCATGTGTACACCAGAAATGCAATGTTTTGTAATTTTCTTCAAGGAATCTAATTTTCTAGGACATGGGCTGAGACAGAACTAAATGTACTTTTTTTCTGTGTATTGTTATTACTGTCAAGAAATTCCAGCCATTTTAGATAGCTTTTCCCCCTCAATGCACCTAAAAAAAGGACTTATATTTACTTGTATTAAATAAATACTAATGCACTTTATTCATATTAAATAACTACAAATGGACTTGCTCCAGAAAGCAAAGTAGATAATCCCTTGCTCCCTGCAAGAAATGTAAATCCCATTCTTTAAATTGATTTAATCACCCCATTTTATGTCATTTCAAATAATTCAGACAAAATGTACCTACCTTCCAAAATATCTAAACTCTAAAAATCAAACAAATGAGTGTAGCTTTCATTAAAGTAATTCAGGGAATGGCAGCCAAACATCTGCTTAATTATTTTAAATCATTTAGTAGTAGGTTACTGCCTTTAGCCATATGGAGCTCTTCTTTTTGGCCATTCTGTTCCTCTTAAATCCTTCCTTTGACATTTATTTATCCTATGTACACACTTTTTCCCAGATGCTTAAAATGTTCTCAGTTTATTTTCTTTTTCATGCAGTATACCTGTCTTCCTAAATTGTTTTAATCCCTACCATTTTATCTCCTTACCCTCCCCACCTTCTGCTTTCTTTAATATTGAATTTCATTCAAAAACATACAGAATTCCTTCAAAGCAAGCAGCATGACCAATATCATTCACTGTTTTTTCTACTTGTCTGGTCTCTGTCTGATATTAGATTACCATGTCCAAAAGCTTCACAATGATTACCACCCCTAAATTTCTTCATATGTTGTAGGTATGATTGCTGAGCATGCAGGACTGTCACATAGCATGGGTTTAACTAATGATCATTGGCATCTCACTGAACCTGGCTTGGCAATCGCTGCAAAAATTAGCTTTCTGATTTTATAATGTCATGCTTTAAGTCTTCTCCAAGCCAGACAACTGTATCAAAACAGGGTAGAACTAAGAAATGGGTGAGTTTGTTTGGATCTTATCAGATGTCTCTTAACGGTCTCATTTATCTAAATTATTGTTAACTATATTCCCTGGCACTGCTTGAGTTTGCCTTTTAAGGGACTCTACACAACAACTGTGCGCAACTTAATGGAGTTGGATAAAAAATGGGATTAACTGAATCATGTCAATGGTAAACAGGGAGGAGGAGGAGGAGGAGGAGACTAGAGAATGGAATTAATGGAATAACAAGCAAACTTGTTTTGATAATGTCACCCCAAAGCTAAGACCAGCAACCACCAGTCTTCTTAATTAGCATTAGAGAACAATGAAAGAGTTAAGGCTTCCTCCCAAATGCACACCTAACACAATATAAATTGAAAAATTCCCTTTAAATGAAATAGTTGAAGGTTTTCAGATCAGGAAAAAAGAATTGTTGAGATTAAAGATCTCCCACATAATAGACCTGCACAGACCAAGGAATTGGATCAGGAAGAACTACATTGCAATCCAAATTCATTCATGATGAAATGCCTGGCCAAACCACACATTTTTTCAAATCCAGTCTTCTTTGCAGAGTTGTGAGAATACCAGCAACTCTTAAAGCACAAGCAACATACAATAAAATGGAATGTGAATTAGAATAAAAATATTAACATTGCTGAAGTAATTACTTTAGATAGGATTGTTATTTGCTTATTTGGAATCTTGTTATTTGACGGTTTATTATGATTGAAACCATAGGTCATTATATAAAATTTACGCAGAGGAAACTACTGAACCAAGTGTATCAGAGGGAGCTCTTTATACTCATATACTTAAAAATTGTCCCATCACTTTAAGGCTTTGTAGCAAAAGTTCTGATTGATTTGGGCAACATGATCTCATTACACACAAACCTCATCATAGTTTAAGTGATGGGTGATAGTAACCTAGTGCTCTATTTTTTTTCTCAGCTCACAGATTAAGAACAATGAATATTTAGCCATTTATTTTTCTCACCGGTTGTATTTTCCAGTGGAAGATTCCTACAGAGGAGTTTATAAATCTAAGAAACTCAAACCAAATAACAAAATATCTGAATGCCAACCTTACTCTATATTATAAACAAATTTCTGGGATGGTTTTGATATTCTGAATCACAGCTGACTCTCTGTAGTAAATCCTTTTATTGTCATTATTATCTAGAATCATGTCCTTGAGATGGGCAGCCATATAAATTCAATAAATAAATAAATATTTTTTTAAAAATGATTTCTATCACTGCAGAACTGTGGGGTATTCACAGAATGCTGTGGTGTGAACACACTATGTATCTCATGGGGAAGCAAGCTGCAATTATCAATTAAAAACTGGCTTGTCTGAAGTTTCTACTGCAGGGAAGGTCTTCTTATTCTGCGAAGCAACAATTAGGGGATTTATAATCAAAGCAGCCTTACCAAGTTCTGGCAGTGAAAGAAAGAACACAGCAAAGTCCTTCAGCTGATAATGCAATTAGAGGCTTGGTTAAAGATTGACAGGGTTACACCAGGCCATTGAAAAACCCTTGATTGCTGGAAAGCAGCTTGATTTGCTAGGAATGACAGAGATGGGGAAGGCTTTTTCTTTAAACCAAGGTTTTTATGAAGTAGGAACATAGCCTTCTTTCCAGCATTATAAATATAATAAAGATCAACACCAAAAGTAGGTAATATGATTCCTATAGATGTCACGGGTCTTCCACACTCCCCATTCTTTTAAAAGATTGATATGATTTAAAAAGGAGAAGAATCTTGTTCCTACAAAGTAAAGCATCCTCTTCTATTGTGGAAAGGTTTCACCAGTTTGAGCAACACATTGTAAACATTCTGGACAATATCTTCTAGAAACAAACATCTATAGTTATCTGCAAGAATGCCTCTCCCTGAGAGCAGGTTCATTGTCCCATCAAGATGGACAGGGTAGTCATTCTTCAGGTACCTTCCCTTCAACATTGTCATATTGTTCATCCTTGGAAGCAGCACCTGTCCTTTGGAACATCTGTCCCCTTGAGATCTGATAAGTCTTTTTTTTTAAAAAAAACTTTCTGAAGAATACTTAAGACCTGGGTCTTCCCCCAGCCACTAGGATAAAGTGAAGACAGAGTGGGAGAAGATTTTCATGGACTGCATCAGGCAGTGAGGTTATGACACCATGTTTTCTGTTTTTGGTTTTATTCTGGTGTTATTTATGGTTGCATGCCTTGCTTTATTGGTTTTCAATTGCCCAGAATTGGTTTTCAATTGCCCAGAATTGGTTTTTAAATTGCCCAGAATTGGTTTAAAATGGGTAGCTATGCAGATGTTTTAAATAAAAATAAATAAATAAATATAAAACATTTGAAAACAAAGCACATTGTCATAGAGGAAATTTAAGATGCCATTTTCATAAATAAAGAAATCCAGATGAGACCCACAAAAAATCTATGTGTGGTTTAGATACTGTCTCTAAATACTGCTGCTAAATTTCTATGAGTTTGGATCACATTCTGTAGGCCAAGATGCATATCAATTGGGCACTTTCAAATCTTGCTTGTAGCCAAGGGTGCTTTTGCTTAAACTGAAAGCATTTCTGGTTTTACAAGATAGTGCTCTCATGTTTCTCTATTTTACTGGAGTCCCAGGATCTTTAAAAAGCTATTCTACTTAACAAACCCAATGAAACAGTATGAATAAGATGCAGGGAAACTACATAAATAGAAAATAGGGCTGAAACTGAACCAATTCCTTACATGATTTATTTTTTTCCCCATACAATGTCCAAATGCTTCAGATGCTTCTGATAAGAAAACTGCTCTTCTTTCTCATTTGTTTAGATTTTTTTTTAGTATTTAATCTAGCTCTACATCTTAACATAATACATAATATCCTTTGTGGGATTTAGCAAACCAATTGGTATATGATGCAGTTAATTCTGGAGCCAGTGCACATTATTCAACTTATAATCCTTTGGAGCCATTTAAAATCTGTTCACCATATGTAGCAAATTCATCTTGCATTTACTTCTTGTTTAAGTGGGGGGAAATGTGATTCTTGAGGTATATAATAATTTGACTTGTGATCCCAAACTGTGCAAGTGTGTAATATATGTGTGTGTGTGTGTTTTCTGAGGTTTTCGCGGATGTTTGTATGTAGGTCTTTGGTTATTCGGGTTTTCTCCTGCATAAAATTGGAAGTGTCTTGGCAACGTTTCTATGAAGTCCCATTTGTCATCTTCAGGCTGGTCCCATTCGTCATCTTCGGGCTGGTGTTTTCAGCTTTGTGCTTCGAGGAGCATTGCTCCTCGAAGCACAAAGCTGAAAACACCAGCCTGAAGATGACGAATAGGACTTCATCGAAACATTGCCAAGACACTTCCAATTTTATGCGGGAGAAAACCCGAATAACCAAAGACATATATTAGTAATTTTCAATAACTTTCCTCAGTAATTCTTAATCATGAACCTCAAGACAAAAACAAATAAAAAATCCTTAGACATTTATTCATTTATTTATTTGGGTGTATATCTTGCTCCAATCTATTAGGACTCCAATCAGTTTACATTCCCTAAATTAACTAAATAATATTAAAAATAAACAGAACTATAATAGAAAAAAACAATAGTAAAGGAATCATCAAAAAGATTATGGTCACTAAACTTCCAAGCACAACTGAAGAGGGTTACTAACTTATAACAAAATCCCTCCTAAATTTTGACAGCTGTCCTAAAACACAAGAGGGTAGAGATTAGTTTGATCTCAGGAAAGAAATCATAAACTATTTCAGGGAAGTACAACTGTAATTGAAAAGACTTACCAGTAACTTGGTAGGCTCTGTAGATGACATCATGTAAATGCAGACTTTAAAAGATGGGATTAGCCATCCAGCCTGAGTCATGGAAGGCTGTGAAGATGACAACCAGTACTTTCAGCAGACTAGCAATCAGTGAAACATTTGAAATAGTTATGCTATATGGAAGCACTGCCACCTCATCACTAATCAAACAGCTGTATTCCAGATCAGTTGCAGCCAGACAATCTTCAAGATCAACCCTATGGAATACAAATTATAATAATTCAAATGGATGCACAATGGTCAGAAGGACCTTTTATTCCAGGAACAGTCAAAACATTTTCTTTATTTTAAAGTATTCCATTTGTGTTTACACAGAGAGAGATTTTATGTTTCTTCTTCCTCTTTTCACATTTATAGTCCACTCAGAAATTAGAATTTGACTGACCCAGGCTTAAGTCTCTTACCTTAATCACTTAATCAGTGTTAGTAGGTTTCTTAACAAAATTGCTTTGTGGGTCTTCTTTCAGTAGGATCAAAATGTGGGGGAATCTGAAATCTTTTCAGTTTCCCCAACTTATTCCAGGCTTGATCATCCCTCTTATGGATCTATTTATTTTTCTAGAAGATTTAATAATTTAATTTAATAAAATCTACCATGACAAGCAATTAGGTTCACAATGGCTAGTGGATCAGCTATCTAAAGGGACATCAATTTTCTCCAATAATTCTATAATGCAATTTAAGTTATGCATGAAACTAAAATGTTATATAAACATTTTATGTAAACACCCACACACCACAGATTTATTGTTCTATATAAACCACATCAATATTGAAATGTTAAATGCTGATCCATCCTTTAATTGAATAAATATATAACATATACTGTAATTTTACCATTTTATCTCTAATCTGGTGAACTTTCCTGTGTCAGAATCAAGAACCTCCTCCAAATGTTATGTTATGAATGATATTTTCACAATATCTTTCCATCTCCCCATATCTGGGAGAAGGTTATAAAAATGTTTCCATTTCTGCTGAGCTTTAAATAAGATAGAACTTCTTAAGAGTTTAGTGACAACAAATAAGTTATATCACTGGCTTAGATAATTAGATAAGTCTCAGAAAAAGGAGAGGAACAGAAATATTGATTCTCTATTAATTAATAAGTAGATATCTGGAAACTTTTATCAAATGTAAAAGTGATTAATGTACATAACATTTACCAGCTGCAGTGGATGAAACTCAAATAATCACTTACTGTCAGAATCCAATCATATTTCATCTTTAATTATCAAATATAGAAACTCCCAATTCTGCCTTCTTTGGATTCTGCCATAAGAGGGAGAGAAGGGGGAGAACAAAGGGGCTTTATGGCCCTCACTTCCTTCAGTAGACTTCAAAGAGCTGAATGCTGAATGTGTGTTTATTGTAACCTATTGTAACCTCAAAGCGTTAGCATCCAGAGAACATTAGCATTAACAAAGAAGAGTATTTGCCTTTCATGTAGTTATCTGAAGTCTCCATCCAGACGGAAGAAAGAAGAAACGGGGTGGAATTGTGATACTTGAAACTATCACTGGGAAGGGGGGTTGATTGGGTGGGACTACTGGGGAACCCCTTAAAACCTGGAATGGGAGAGCTTGAACCCCAAGTCCTGTCTAGCATGCCTGCAACCATTTTCTCTGAATAAAGGATTCCTGTTGGAAGAGCTATTCCAAGAGTTCTGTCTTCTTAAGATGCAAAGTGGGGTGGGTCCTTACATTAGACAGGACTTGCAAAATTAATACACCTGGAAGGTAGACCCTTGCCGGGGGATTTTGCAAAAATTTACCATGTCAGACAACGAAGCAAGAGAGGGAGAAAACTCCCTGGAAAGAGAGCCGCGGACCCAGTTGGAACCTTGCCAGATGTTGGGATCCGAGAGGCCAGATTTCTCAGAAGAAGAAGTGGTGGAGACACAGGACCACAAGCCTCGCTGGTCGATGGGCGTTGGAAAGAAAAGCGAGTGGGGAAAGGAATCAAGAAAATTGACCCTGAGACGGGGGACCAAGCAACCAGAATGGAAGCAGGAGATGGAGAAATCCCTGCACGCAAGTGAAGAGGGAGGAAGCTGTATGCCGTACTCAGACTGGATCCGAGAGAGAGCTATTGACCTGATGAAGAGAACTCTCAGCTCCCTAGGAGAGGAGATTCCTGAGCCCTACGCCCGCCCCAGTTCCTGGAGCCACAAGGGGAGAGACACCGAGGGGGACGTGGAACCTGCAACCCCAGGGACATTTACTGATCCAGGAGCTCCCACCCCCTACCGGACCACAGATGGAAATCTGGACGGAAGACACTACCACCCACAATGGAGGCACCGATCCATTCCAAGACGTCCACCTTTGGAGGTGAAATTCAAAGGGGAGCCAACACGCTTGGGGTTTTTCCTAACCCAAGTCCTCAGCTACATGGAGGAATATGGGCAGGACATCCCCAGCGACAAAGCCCGCATCCGGATCGTGCAATCTGCCCTGGATGGACCAGCTGCAGATTGGGTGGTGAACCTGCATGACTCCAATGCCCCAGAACTCAGTAACTTCAACCGTTTCATGTCCTCTTTGAGAAGACGATTTGAAGACCCCCTGGCTGAGCGCAAAGCCCGTGAAAGGATAACAACGATGAAGCAAGGCAAGCGCCCAGTGGCTGAGTATACACAAGAATTCCGGGCCATTGCCAGCAAACTGAATTGGCCAGAAGACATCCTCCTTGGCCATTTCAAAGATGGACTAAACTATGATCTATATGATGCTTGCCTGCCCCGAGGGGACCCACATCAACTTGAGGAATGGTACGTCTTGGCAGAGGAAGCAGAGATCGACATATTGAAGAGGCACCGCCGAGGAAAACAATGGAGCCGCCCCCCGCCTGAGCTGACACACCAACCGGTGAAATCATCGGATACAGCCAAGAAGCAAATGGGGTGTTTCAAGTGCGGAAGAGAAGGGCATCGAGCTGTAGAATGCCGCTCAAAGGCCCCCCAGCACAACCCAGACAGATCCCCAATCAACAAACCCGGAAAGTATTCAGCTAAGCCAAAAGAAACGGCCATGAGAATGATGGAAATTGCAGAAACCCCCACCTCTGCTCACCAAGGGGAAAGAATTCCAGCCTACACCACAGGGCCGGTGGATGCCTCAGACGACAGCTCGGAGGGCGAACCTCTGGTAAGTGGATGCATCACACCCATCTTCAAAACAGTGACTATATTAATCCCCCCCATGCCCGAAGCTGTGAAGGTGAAAGCTTTAATAGACTCTGGCTGCACCCGCTGCCTCATTAGCCCAACACTAGTGGGGAATCTGGGCATCCCATCCAGGAGACTGGAACAACCAATCTCATTTGGCCAGCTAGATGGATCCATAGCAGGGGGGGTGCCAGCTACCCTAGCCACTCTGCCAATACACCTCTCCCTGGGCAAACCATGAAGAGGACTTAACGTTTGTGGTGACCCCAGGTATGGAATGCCCAATGATTCTAGGGATGGAATGGTTGAAAAAATGGAACCCCTGGGTAAATTGGAGGACGACAGAAATCAAATTCCCGAAGGGGGACCCTATGGACTTAAAACCCCAAGGGAGGCTACCAGAATCAAGAATAGAAAAAGCATCCATAGGAGAGGAAAAAAGATTAACAGAAATACCAGAGGAATATAGGGACCTTGCTGAAGTCTTCAGTGAGGAAAGGGCGAATGAGCTTCCCCCCCACCGACCCACAGACTGTACCATTGAATTCAAGCCTGGGGCAAAACTCCCGAAGCCCAGATTATACTCCATGAGCCCAAAGGAGAAGGAGGAAATGGAAAGATTTATAAAAAAAAACCTGGAGAGAGGGTTCATTGAGCCAGCCAAGCCTAAAGTGGCTGCCCCGGTCCTTTTTAGAGAGAAGAAGGATGGTTCTTTACGTTTATGCGTGGATTATAGGGCCCTGAATACAATCAGTGAAAGCAACCTATACCCGCTGCCCCTCATGAAAGACATGCTGTCACACCTATCGAAAGGGAAAATTTTTTCTAAACTAGACCTAAGGGAAGCTTACTATCGCGTGAGAATCAAGGAAGGGGACGAATGGAAGACTGCATTTAACTGCCCCATGGGGTGCTATCAATTCAAAGTCTTGCCATTTGGATTACAAGGGGGCCCTGCAGTCTTTATGCAATTAATCAATGACGTTCTAAGGGAGCACCTATTTAAGGGGGTCCTTGTTTACTTGGACGACATTCTTATCTTTACTGAAACAAAAGAAGAACACGTCAAACTTGTCAGAGCGGTTTTAAAGAAGCTGCGAGCCGCTCACCTATATGCCAAACTCTCAAAATGCGAATTCCACCAGGAAAGGATAGACTACCTAGGCTATCGCATATCCCCACAGGGCATTGAAATGGACCCAGAGAAGGTCAGAGCAGTATTAGAATGGGCACCACCCCGCACAAGAAAGCAACTACAAAGTTTCCTGGGCTTTGCAAATTTTTACCGCCAATTCATCCCCTCATTTGCACAGATAGCCTTGCCCCTCACTAACTTACTAAAAACGAAGGGAACATCCTCAGTAAAACCTAGCCAGCCACTAACATGGACAATGGAGTGCCAAGCAGCGTTTGAGAGACTAAAGAGACTTTTTTCTGCCGAACCAGTACTAAGGCACCCAGACATGGACAAGCCCTTCATAATACAGGCAGATGCAAGTGATGTGGCAGTGGGGGCTGTGCTATTACAAGAAAATGATGATGCAGTATTGCAACCCTGTGCATATACATCTAAGAAACTCACGGAAACAGAACAGCGCTGGCCCGTATGGGAGAAGGAGGCTTATGGGATACGTTGGGCATTACTCACGTGGCGACAGTTCCTGGAAGGCAACAAAATCCCCTTCCAGGTATGGACTGATCACAAAAATTTAGAAGCCCTGAAAACTCCCAGGAAACTCAATCCCAAACAAGCCCGCTGGTCCCAGCATTTTCACCAATTCCAATTTAAGCTCAAACATTTACCAGGAAGAAAGAACTTCCTGGCAGATGCACTATCTCGCATGCCCCAATATAACAGCGCACGAACCACAGACTCTAGACCAATAATGGCAGAATCACAACTGGCAGCGCCAGTAACCACAAGAACCCAAGCCAAAATAAAACCACAACTGGACAGCCAAACTGGGATTGAATTCAGAAAAAGT